TAACGGGCTGTCTGTGTGGACTCTCGCCTTGTTGTTTTGAAATAATGCTGTAGTATAGGCGTGCCCATACAGGGCACTAGGTTGGGCATCAGGTGACCTGGGCCCTATTCCCAACTCTGAAGATCACTGGCTTGGTGACACTAGGCAAACCTTCCCCTAGTCCTTTGCCCAGCTTTAGACTGAAAGCTCTTCAGGTCTAGGGCAGTCTTGCCTATCTCACTGAGCACAATAGGATCTCTGGTGCAAATACTTACTGTGAGTTTACACGATTTTGCCTCACCTCATGGAGTGGAAACCCCTCCGGTAAATACCAGATGCTGAGGGCAACAGCCCTGTGTGTGGATGTTCTGTTTTCTGAGTTCAGCTGAGACTGTCAAGAACCACTGGCCTCCTCCCGATTGCACTAATTCCATGTTGTCCAATTAGATCTGAAGCCACTATAGCAAACTAGTCACATTATTCTGAAAATTTAAATGATTTTTGAAAGCCAACTAGTGGCTAGTATGTTGGACACCATGGCACCAATTCCTGGAAGACCCAGTCAGATTCAGGAAATCCTTGTGTTAGGCTCTGTACACGTAATTAGAGAAAAGAGGCCCCCAAGGGTGTGAATGGAATCCATTACTTACTGGTAATGGGGGAAGACACGCAATAGCAGCTAAAATAGACCATGTGACCTCCTCCACATGGCTCCCCCTCGCCCCAATGTTCTCCTCATCCCCTCCCTGTGATGTGACATCCACACACAACATTACACTAGCTTCGTACCATCAGGTCTATTCCAGTGAAGACTCAGAAAATTCATGGTGCTCTAATGTGAGTCATGATTTAATGCCCTAATTGATCAGTAGTTTTGTCTGAATGTAGCGTGTAATTTACATCAGCAGTAGCAGCTTAAGACAGACACCAAATAAATGGTTAGCAGTCTGTTACACAATACATGGGCTAATCCACATGTTCTCTGTGCAAGTTCTGGTTAAATTCCATTTAAATATTTTAAACAAATATTTTCTAGCACCTGCCACTGTTAAAGAGCTCTGGCCTGGTTCTCATTTTCCCCCAAGATACCTTTAGCACTGTAAATGTAGGACTATAACAGAGTTTAAAGAGAAGCTAGATAATTTCATGGAGGTTAGGTCCATAAAAGGCTATTAGCCAGGGGATAGAAATGGTGTCCCTGGCCTCTGTTTGTCAGAGGCTGGAGAAGGATGGCAGGAGACCAATCGCTTGATCATTGTCTTCGGTCCACCCTCTCTGGGGCACCTGGTGTTGGCCACTGTCGACAGACAGGATACTGGGCTAGATGGACCTTTGGTCTGACCCAGTACGGCCGTTCTTATGTTCTTATGTTCACCCACTCTACAGCCACCTTATACTGCTTGAATTTTGTAAAGGGGCCTGGTTGTAGAGACTTATAGCTTGTAATTTTCCTCCTTATTTGGGAAGAATTTCCTCGAGTGCAGTTGCTGTTTGTAGACCAGACAGTTGGAGAAGGAGAAATTGTTTAACTACACTACATTTACATTTCAAAACAATCTCACTCTTTACAGAAATAATGTAGTACAAACAAATATGTAAAGAATTTACAGCTGATTAACACCTTGATGGAGCCTAAGCATACTTCCTTGCATTTTCTCTTTGGTTTAATATTTCATTGAAGGTAAGTAATAAGGAAGTGAGCGAGATTTTTAGGTCTAGTAGTGATAATAGCTCCATTTGAAAAGCAAGGAATAAAATCAAAGTTTAACACATGGAAAAAGAATTAAATTGGTGGTAGTTTTTTTTTAAATGCCTAGCAAACAATGAAGAGTATTTTAAAGTTGTTTTATTAATAATACTTTCCACCTCCTTGCCTTGATTTTTTTTTTATGACATGTCTGGCAGACACTGAAGCAATTGAGTTGCTGTCATGTGCCTTTCTTGAAATACGTGTATTAGTCACACAGCAGTTCTATGTTTAGCATATTTTAGTATATAATTAAATATGTCTGCTACTAAGCAACTAAGCATGGCAGAGGTTGATTGCGTTCTGTCACTTAGGTAGACAGAAGGGGGAAAATAATAATCACGTGCTCACCTTCCAGTCTTAATTGCACACTAGCTACTTTGATATGTTGTGATACATGTTATTTCCTAAAGACAGAGGTGTAAATGGAGTGTGAGTAATTGCTGATGGAGTGACCGCACCAATGGAGGTGATAGGATATCAGTGTTAAAATGTCATGCATTTGGGAGACTTTCCATTGATTTCAGGGAGCCTTGGGCCAGACGTTATAGGCACGCTTTTCATGCCTTCTGGCAATTGAATTTCCAAGACGTGAAGCATAATGAAGTACCCAACTCTCATTTAGCTTTCGATAGGAGTTGGGTGCCTAAATGCTCTTTGTGCCTCTGAAAATCTCCTGGTTACTGTTTAAACCTTATCTATTTACACATTGTAGCATCTACTGTGTAACATTTCCTGGCTCCCCACCCCGCACAGGTTTCCCAGTAGGTTCTGTACCAGACAACAGGCAAAGGGTTGTATGTTTGAAAGCTCAGCAGTACATTTTATGCTATCTCGATATGACTTAATGTGGCGGCATGAGATGGTGTTTGTCAGTATGAATTTAGGATATCCACATTACTCATCATTGAATTATGCTGGTAATCCCAAAAGCTCAGTAGGAACTTTATACCACACCATGCTTTCCTAGTACTGGGTCATGGAATGTTGGGCACCGAGTCTCGTTGCTGCAGGGGGATCAGGTGACCAGTGAAGGTGCTAAGGCAGTTGCCTGCATGTCCTGGCAGCACAGATTGTGTTGTGCCTCAGAAGCAGATGGCAGCAGGCCTGGCTCCAAGGTGTGGGGGAGGGGAAGGACACAGGGCTCCATGTACTGCCTCTGCCCTGAGCACTAGCTCCACACTCCCTTTGGCTGGGAACCTGCTGCTGGCTGCTTCTGGGCACAATATGGTCTGGGGTACCAGGAGAGGCAGGAAGTCACTTTAGCACACCTGCTGCACTGCTGACTGGGAGCCGCTGCAGGTAAGCCCTTCCTGCCCTAGCCCTGACCCCTGTCAAAGCCAGAGCCCCCTCCTACACTCCAAAGTTCTCATCCTCAGCCCCACCCTGCAGACCACACTCTAGTCAAATTATGCTGGGTCGCGGATATCAACAATTTTCTTCAACTGGGTCATGAGGAAAAAGGTCTATTATAATTATATTTTCTGATAGCTGTTGTCCAATCCCTCTTTGAATCCAATAATTTAGAAAGATTCTCTGTCATCCCATGGCAATGAGTTCCACAGTTTAACAAAGCCAGTATTTTCTAAGGTTTTCTGTGTTACTCACATGGTCCGGAAAAATTATTTTGCAGATTTTAGATGCCAGCTTTAGTATACTCTATACAGACACAGAGACCATGAAACAAACCTTCTGCAGCCTCAGGCCTGAAGAGTCATTATTATACCATTAGTCCCTGTGCTAATGTAATTTTTTTGTCACCTAGCACAAGAATTGTGTGTAATCAGTTTTCACAGGACAGTTTTGTCCCTTGCAATGTGTGTCTAATTCGCGGCATAAAGACTCCTTTTCTGTACAAAAAGGTTGCCATTTTGATGTGATTCTTAACCGGGGCACTGGCTGCTACAGAAGAACCAGAGAGAGATGCGATTGTTGAAGTATTGTTGAATGTGTGCACGGAGTGTGGTTTATGAGCAGCTTTGTGCTATCGTGAATTAGCAGCCTGCAAGAATGCAGATGTCTGACTTGCTGCTCGCTGGCAGGCAAGGAAGGATTGCAGCAGCATGTCTGGGAAGGGTCAGCCACCGTTTTCATCTACGCTGCCTGGGGGGAAACTTTCTCTGTCCATAGAGTGTGCTGGAGCGGCGCCTGCCACAGCTTCCTGTGCATGGAGAGGCAGGATGAGCTCTCCATTGTAGCGACAAATTGAAAGCCTTTGATATGGGAAGGTTGGTTCCTCTGCAAAAATTCAGTCCTGCCTCTTTGACAGTAGGGGCTGCTCCGGCACAGAAACCATTGTGTTCCCCTCTCTGTAGGTTCTGAATAATGGGGACATTCTGGATCATTTGGGCCCTTTCGTGGTTACAGGAAGCATCCTCTGCTTTGCTAAATGGCTCCGCGGGGCAGCTAATATACCTGATAAAACTCTTCGTGTTCAAGTGAGTTCAATGGCTATAAATGCAGTGCAAATACTCAAATTAACATTACGTTGACTAGAAATGCTAGAAATTAATTAGAAATACTGCATAGCTGGAGTCTTTTTTAATTTCCTTATCTTTAAGGTTTGCACACACACACATACTTCCTACATCTCTCTCACACGGGGAAGAGGGTGATAGGCCAGCCCAACCCAACTATCCTGACCCAATGCTCTCCACCCTCTCCCAGGACCTGGCTCTGCATCTTCTCAAAGCAACATGTGGGAAGGTGAACACAGACAAATTCATATTAGAAATACGGCACAAATATTTCACGATGAGGATGAGTCACCCTTGGAACAAGCTACGAAAGCGAGTGAGGGATTCTCCGTTTCTTGATGTCTTCTAATGAAGAGTAGAGGCCTTTCTTGTGTGTGCTTGGATCAAAACTCAGCTACTATGATACACAGGAGGGCTGGGAAATGCAGGGGTCAGATTTGATGCTCTAATGGTCTCTTCTGGCTTAAAGTCTATTAATTAATGACAAACTGAGTGTGGCACACAGAGCAGCCTCTAGGGCTTTGCTGTGCAGTTGGCTTGATCCCCAGACTCAATTGACATGAAGTGGGATGATCCAGGGGAAGCCACTCAAATACCCAAAGAGGCTGGCCAGGGTCAGGACACCAGCCTTACAAGGGAGGGGTTGGGGTGGCAGTGACATCACAAAGGCCTGTTGCAGGACCTCAGCCTATTGGTGAAAGGCGATGGATCGGTGGTGACCTCATAGAGAGACCCTGACAACAGCCAGGCAGGACAGAGGTGCAAAGCAAGGGCAACCTCAGAGACTCCCGTGGCTTTGTAGCAATAAGGCTCCTTCCCAAGGTTTCTCCTTGGGGGCCAAGAGAGAACAAGGATTAAAGTACGTGAACATGAGGAACCTCGTTGGAGTTTTCTCCTTCCCTTCTACTGAGTTTGTAGTCCCTCTTTAGAAGGTAAGAGCCTCAGAGAAGATTGAAACCTGTTCAGTCTGATCCACCTGGTACCAGCTGAATTCTAGGCATAGAAATCACTAGGTTAAGGCGATATGATTTCCTTCCAAGGTATTTGTCCTGTAGAATCACTGGGGGCATTATTACTTTGTCGTTTTAGGTTTTCCTTTTCCTCCTTCCTGCCCTCTTCTCTTCTTCTCTTGCTTAATTCCTCCTTTTCCATTCTTCCCTGCCTCCGTCAAGGGTGTGTGTGAGGGGGAGGACTAGGCCCAAATGTAAGGGGACTGTTACCCCTTACTAAAACTCTGTGGGAGTTTTTTGGTTTGCCAGCTCCCAGTTTCAGAAGGGGAAGGGTTCATGAGACTGACAGACCCCAGAGACAATGGAAAGCAGCCAACACTCCAGCTCAGCCTGATTGACAGGTTGGACAGGCCAGTGAGGAAGGGGAGAGGCCAGGCCCCGTCCTCCCTGTGAGCTGGGATTGTTCTGGGTCTCTCTGAGCAAACAGAGAGCTGAGACACAGCCCAAGGAGTGCAAGCTGTGTGCTGAGGGGCAGTTTTTGCAGCAGCTGAGCCTGACACACACAGCTCAAGGAGCGCAGACCCTGTGTTGAGCAGCAGACTGGCAATGCTCAGAGAGCCAAAAGGAACAGAGAAACAACGCAAGAAGCTAGAGACAGGCCAAGCAGCACCCTGCAGCTGGATGTGGTGAGCAGCTGGGAACTGCAAAGTGTGGGGAGAGGCTCTGGACTGGGAGAGGGGTCTGGCCACTTAGAGCTTGAGGCTGTGTGGTCACTGCCAGAGCAAGCGGGTCCAGCCTGCAGCTCCTCCCCCCCTCCATCCCCTCTAAGGAAGAGACTGTGGACTGTCCTTACATTCTGCAGGCTGTTGTTTTGATGTCCCTGTGCTACAGAGCAGGGCTGTGTGTTCTCATTTAACCATTCTCATTTTTTTCTTATTCTATTCTCTTTAATCAGTTGATGTTTAATAAATTGTATTTGCTTTGAACCTTATGAAGTGATCACTGGGCCAAGAAGGCCTGCAGTGTAAAGAGAGCACCTCAGAGTGGGGACACCCTAACTCCTGCCCCTAGTGACTACAAGGTCGGGGATTAAGCCCCAGGAAACCTGGGCCCAGCCTTGTTGGGGTTTCAAGGGCTCTGCTACTCAGGAGAGTGGAGGGGGAGCCCTCATGAACAGGGGAGCCATGGGGTAAAGGAAGTGGGAGCGGGGACTCAGATCCTTTCACTGGTTCATTTCACCGGGGTGGTATAGAAGCCAGGAAAGTTCCCCACAATAGCGGGACCATTCCCCCGCTTACACAAAGCCCCCTACCAGAGGCTGGTGGCCTTCCGGCACACTGACCAAGAGAGAAGAGCTGAAGATAGGTCTTCCAGGCAAACTAGAATGTCTACTTCTGCTGTAGCCAATCAGGGCCCAGTAAGCCAATATAAAAAAGGCTGCTGGGCTAGGGCCTGGCAGTTCCTTGCTGGAGCTCAATCCAGTCAAAACCAGCGATTGAGTGGGAAGTCAGTGGCACCTCAGACAGCTCAGAATGTGAGCTGGACTTCAGACCTGGCTGGCTGAAGAGCAACAGTGATAGACTGCAACAAATTCCAGAACCCTGGACAGAGTGTGGTGAGAACTTGACCTCAAAGCCCTGAGAGAGAGGGCTGGAAGGAGCAGCTTCTTAGGGAAGTGGCCCAGGGAGCAAGATAGAAGTGGACAGCATTGACACTTAGTGGACAACTGCTGCTTACAGAGTCCCTAGGCTAGGACCCAGAGGAGTGGACGGGTCTGGGTCCTCTAAACCCCCCAATAATAAAAAGGGGGATAAGAAGAAGCCTGGTCCCAGGCAACTGACCAGAAAGGCCATCTGGGACACCTCCACATTCAGAACCAGTAGCAGCGGAGGGGCTTGTGGATACATGCCTTTGGCCACAAAGGGGCACTCGCGAGAGTGGAGCCTTTTACAGTGTGTCATGGTGGTGGGGGGGAGGGGTTGCTGTCACTGTGGGAGGTCTTGGAATAGTGCTCAGAGACTTATCCCCTCCATGATGACCTGAGCCATCCTTTTGGACTTCTGCTGATTCCTCTCTGCCACCCAGCTCTCAGAGTCTCGATACTCACTGGCCGACCAGGTGGCTATTGACAGGGAAAACTCAGGTCCTTTTGTTCTCTTTTAAGACCAAATAAGTCACAAACAATCATGTGATCATGCTGCTTCTCTGCAATTGTTACCTCTGTGCGGTTCCTGATTGTCTCTAATGTTCCAGTTCTTCTCACATATTTGCTGAACAATGCCTATAACTATGAGCAATTGTTGGACTATAGCTCATTTGAGAGCACTTCAGTCTGATCAATCAGTGTGTCCAGAGGATCTGGCTTGGGGCAGGACATCAGCCTTGCAGGGAAAGGGTGGGGGTGGCCCTGACATCATAAAGGCCTGTTGCTCAGTCTAGTGGGGAAAGGCGGTAGGGAGGTGGTGACTTCACAGACCCTGACATCAGCCAGGCAGGACAGAGGTGCATGGCAGGGGCAACCTCAGAGATACCCCCTTATGGCTTTGTGATCTAGTATATATTTGAGAGAGTTTCTCTGATTGTTTGTCTGTTTGTTTGTCTGGGGACATTTCCCCTCCCCTGGATGTGCCCGCTGCAATGGCCATGGACAGATGCTTTTCACCTGGCCCCAAGCTACTGTGGTGAGAGAGGGCTGGGGTTGTCCTCTCACCCCAGGGCAGCCTGCAGACTGAACCCCTCATCCCCAGCCCTACCCCACAACAATGATTAAATGAAGAAAAGCAAAACCTATTTGGGTTAAGGACCCAAGCAATGCCGGACAAATCTTCTAGGCTGCTATACATTTGAGAGAGATCGTCTTTCTCTCTGTTTACAAATTCTTCTTAAACAGGAAGAGCCACAACCACCAAATTCGGTATACAGCAACGTAAGGGTTTGGTTGTGCCAGGAAAATGGAGTGTGCCTGGAATGGAATGGCTTCTCATAAAACCAAACAGAAAAGAGACAGAATCATTTGGCAGATGAAAGAGGGTAGCTGGGGACATGCCCCCCCCCCCAGTCTGGGACTGCCCCAGTCCTGAGCCTTCCACCCCCCAGGCGCCCGTTAGGCAGAGTTGGGGAGGGGGGGGTCTGAAACTCCCTCCCAATTCATGCAGAGATGTTGCTGGCCATTCCCCTTCATCAGGGAGCGAGGGGAAAGTACACAGCTTGTTGCATTCCCGACTCTTGCTGGAGAGTGGGCGTTTCCCCCGAATCCCATCCCCTGCCCAGAGTCCTTCCTCACCCTGACCCTGCTGGCCCAATGGGGTTATAACTGGGGTTATACTCTTGCACCCTCACACCTCATGTCGTGAGCCACTTCTCATCCTCCAATCCCAATTCCTGCCCCCATACTCCCAGGCCCCTGTCTTGAGCCCCTCATCACTTCAACCAAATAAAGGATATGCATTCTCCTTTTATTTTATTTTTAAATAATTGAGTTAAGGACCCAAGCAAGGCCAAGTAAATATGCTAGTATATCTCATAAACTAAGTTGATTGCTTAAAAGCTCTGTAAATAACAAAAGGCTGTTGACTGCATTTCCCTTGCGTTCCCCTTCAACCAAAATGACCACGGCCCTTCCTATTTTTCACATGCCTCGTGTAATGCATAACATTTTCCGTGACTGTCAAGTCACTGAGACATGATGTTCATGCTATGTGGTGATATTAATCTTGTTTGTTATTATTCTGGTTGCTGGTGGTTATTCTTCAGTGATCATAAGCTGCCTTTAATGTGAATTTTTTATGAGCTCAAATGAGTCAAATTCATCCCGAGGGTAAGTAAGTATAAAATAGCTCCCCTTGATTTCACTGGGAGCTGCTCCTGCATATGCTACCTGGACTTGTCTCTACACAATATGAAAGGGACATACATTGCACCTATTTAACTCGCCCAAGGATTTTTGAACTTGTACAGGTTACACAGGTAAACTACCAACAGGCGTTGTTTTGGCCAACCTAAACCCAATGTGCAATTTACATCACTATGTACAACACAGCAGAATTTGACCAAGTATGTTTTATTGATATATAATGGTAAGTACATATATCTAGCTAGTTAAGGTAAATGTAACTCATCAGAATCATAGATGGAAGAAGTGAGGATAGGTGGTTTTGGAGGCCATATTGCTGCCAGTTCAGGCTTTCTGTCTACTATACGCTCTCCAATCTTTAGTCCAGTGTAGTTTCAAAAGTACCAAGTGACAGGACTTCAGTAGCTACTTAGATTATATTGTTGACTGTTTCTCATTGAAAGGAAGAGATTCTGTAATTTGACACTAGGTAATGATTGCTGGGTTCAAAATGTATTTTTCTATACATCATTACAGTAAAAGACCAATATATATATTAGGGATGTTAACAGGTAGCCGTGTAATAAGTTACCTGGTACCTGGGTAGCAGCCCTCTGCCCATGGCCTACTGCAGACGGAGGGCTCCTCCACAGCCCCACAGGGCCCCTGCCTGGGGCTGTCAGCTCCTAGCCCAGGCAGTTCTCCCTTCCCCTGTGCTGGCAGGGACAGCAGCTCCACTCAGGGCCAGAAGCAGCTGGGATGAAGCTGTCTGTGGCGGGGTGGGGGAACCATCCCAGCCATGCTGGAGGAGTGCCCCTCACCCTCCTGCCGTCCTTTTAATCAGTTAACAGGTTAAACTTAATGTTTAACTGGTTAGCTAATTAAACAGGTTTTACATGGATCATGTATTTTTTCCCTCAATATATTCAACCCCCTAACATGGAAAGTAGCTTAAAACTGCTTACAAATCAGTGCTGCATAATGAATCATAGACATTTTACTTTTCTTTAGCTATGTCACATAGCATACTCTTGTTTGATCCAACAAATTTACAATCTGATAGAAAAGGGGTTGTTGGGTTTTTTGCACAAGTAACGGGTGCCATCTTCTATCATAAAGAGGCTTATAAATAGGAAATGTATTTATTTGC